AAACCACAACCATTGGAACCAAAGAGCCCGCCGTCCGGACCCTTGACGTCGCTGTCGCCAAATTTGCGAAGTGCCAAGACATTCCAAAGACACAACGCCTTCTTCCTGGACGAGTTACTCGTGGGATTGCACAGTGCACCACATGGCCATCCATTTCAAAACTACAGCGAAAATGTGCCTCCGACTCAGGCGGGAACAAAAGAAGAAGCGAGTGCAGCTTTCGCATTGGCTGGTTTACGGACCAGTCCAGTTATGGCGAGAACGATGCCACGAAAACAAATAGAAGTGAGTTTAGACGGTCGGTTAGAGAATTGGGGGTCTACTTGGAGCTGCAATCCATGATGGGTACAGTAGGAGTGATGAAGGATTGTTCATGGCGACATATCCTCCTCCAGCTATGCACGATTAGGAGACAGATGCTGACAAAGTTGGATTGGCGGCTTTTTTTGTACATGTCTGGCTTGCTGTGAGCCGATTGGCGTTGGGAGAAAGGCATAGAAGCCTATTCAAAGGTGCATTTTTGCTGTTGGATATGAGTGTTCCGGCATTAGATTTTGATATTTCCCAATGAAGAAGCAAATGAATTGATGGAAAAAGACAATCGGTACAAGAGCCAGTCGGGGCTTGATAGGTCGGAGTACGGCGAGGGCCCTACTCTTTTGTCCATAACAAGTCAATCGAACCTCTGACCCGATAACGGCTTCCTCACAAGTTGATTGCGTTGTCTATATGATATATGATAGCTGGCGGCTACCTTCGGCACGGGAGGAGCCCTTAATACTAAGCGCCAAAACAAGGAAAACGGACCGGGGGAAAGCAGTGCTCCTGGACGAAAAGGGCGCAGTTGACACGCATAACAACTTGGAGGCGCAACAGATGCGGGGTTTGCACTGGGGTAATATCAATACCAGACATATATGCGGATGCGCGGCTAGCTTCAGATGGTTCTTGGATAGCAACGAGTTTCGCCGCCCAAGGTGGAGATGAGCGTCAACTGAGTCACTCTCTTGCGCCGACCGGCCTTGCTTTGCTGCGGTTGACGTGTCTAGGTCACCGCTCCTATATATCGTCGTGTGCTCGCCGCCCTTATTTTCAAGGCTTTGCATACCTGTGATTACAAGCGTTTGTTTCGCAACCAGACTACTGTCGTCATGGGCCATCAAGAGGTTCTCGCTTTGAGAGCCAAGTCAGCTGAGAGCCCGAGGCCGTTTGGATCAGAGTGGAAGAGGGAGTTCCCCTTTGACCCAGAGTGGCACAACTTGAACCACGGTATGTGATTGGTACTTGACCTGACATTTATATCTGGACCTCGTGTGCTCCAGCTGCTGGCACGAACCCCCTTCCCCTGCTCGACGGCGACCAAGACTTGACATGTTACTCATCCGACTGCCATGTAGGATCGTTTGGCACATATCCTAAACATATCCGCGATAGACTTCGTGCGTACCAGGACCAGGCAGAGGCTCGTCCGGACCCATTCATCTTCTACGAGCAGCCTAAACGCATCGATGCTGCGCGTGAAGAGCTTGCCAGACTAGTTCATGCCCCCCTCGACACGGTTGTTTTCGTGGGCAATGCCACAGACGGCGTAAACACCGTCCTTCGTAACTTGGCCTGGGCCGAGGACGGAAAGGACGTCATCCTCAGCTTTTCTACCATCTACGAAGCATGTGGCAAGGCGGCTGACTACCTGGCCGAGTATTTTGAGGGAAAGCTTGAGCATCGGGGTATTGCCATTACATACCCGCTCGAGGACGAAGAGATTATCCGCGCTTTCCGAACCACAGTCAAGGAGATTCAAGACGAGGGCAAACGTGCCAAGGTCTGCATCTTTGACGTAGTCTCGTCCCGGCCCGGTGTCGTCTTCCCTTGGATGGACATGGTCAAGGCGTGCAAGGAGCTCGGCATCATCAGCCTCGTTGACGGAGCCCAAGGCATCGGCATGGTACATCTGGACCTCACGGCCGCCGACCCCGACTTCTTTGTGTCCAACTGCCACAAGTGGCTGCACGTCCCTCGAGGCTGCGCCGTCTTCTACGCGCCCATCAGGAACCAGCATCTCCTGCGGACAACGCTCGCCACCAGCCACGGCTTCATCCCGAAGCTGGTGCAGCGCACCACACCCATGCCGCCGAGCGCAAAAAGCGCCTACGTCAATAACTTTGAGTTTGTGGGCACCAAGGACAACGGGCCGTACATGTGTGTCAAGGACGCCATCGAATGGCGCCGAAATGTCTGCGGCGGCGAGGACAAGATCGTCTCGTACCTGTGGGACTTGAACAAGAAGGGCATCAAGCTCGTGGCCGACGCGCTGGGCACCACGTACCTCGACAATAGCAAGGGCACCATGACAAACTGCGCCATGGGCAATGTCTCGTTGCCGGTATGGGTGAGCGAGAGAGGCGAGGGGGCCAAGGAGACGGATATCGTGGTGCCCGAGGAGGACAAGGACACGGTGTTCCAGTGGATCACAGAGACGCTGGTGAGGGACTACAGGACGTTTATGTTGCGGTTTATCATGGGAAATCGGTACTGGATCCGCATTAGTGCGCAGATCTACTTGGATCTAGCGGATTATGAGTTTGCCGCCAAGGCTCTGGGGGACATTTGCGAGAGGATCGGCAAGAGGGAGTACCTGAAGTGAGGTGTGACATGGCCATGACGGGTTTAGCAGATCTTTGTTGTAGTATTGGATTGACGATGGGGATGAATAGACTTGTGGTTACTGGCCATTTTAACGACACACGTCTGCGCCAAACACTTGGTGATGATGTCAGGGCTGACGCGTAATGAAGAAGAGAAAGAATAAGTAGGGAAGTGCTAAACGTAGGTGGGCTAAGAGTCAAGACTACCGTCGTTTTTAATGTTGACTACAGATTCCCAGCATAAGAGTCGAGCACTTGGTTGCGGAAAAATAACTTGATCAACTAATTTCCTCAACTTTTATCTTATTGCCTCCTTGTGCCTCATGTAGAGCTGTTTTTATGATGATGCATGAAGCGAAATAAAGCCCTTGCGCTACTAGCAGTGATGTCCATTTATTGTAGTGTCGATCTGCTCTGGTAGGTGGCAAACCGGGCCTTTTATCAGTCAATTTCCACTAGACTCGACAATCACTGGCCTCTACTTGATATATATACTCCGTACCTAGGTATATATATAGTATAAATGTCAGCAAGTACGTAGTGAGGCACGAGTTTCAGCCACGTTTGGATCAGCGGCACCTGCAGGGTTTCAGCAGCGCAGATGCACCGGAAATGCGGCCTCGACAAAACGTGACGGCCACAAACGTGCGGCATTGACCAGACCATTGAATGTCAAGTCCACAAGCCGCGCGCCAGCCACCCGCGCGGCCGGGCCAGCGATGGCCCTTCCCCCCTGTGCATATCAACGGCATGTTGTGTGTAGTTTGTATCGATCGATATTTGTGAAACGAAGCTGGTGCCAGCAGTCAAAGGATGGCGCGCATGGGTGCGGAGTTCGGGCGACAGCCTCTTTCGGGCTTGCAAACAAAGCGGCATTTCGGCTGCCGGGAAGTATTGACTAGAGTAGAGCAGTGCAAGGGCAGGGACGGTTTACCCCTCGGAACACTCCTGGTCTTGCCAGGCACCTCACGACCGTCTCACATGGCCAGATGAGCGCCGTGTTTTCCGAGCTCCGATTTGTACATGTAGTAACTATTAAGTCGTTGAGCCGAGTACTACTTGGTCAGTTTCGAGCTTGCAAACCCGGTCGGGAGTTGGGACTTGGTAGTGACTGGCCGTTCTAGCTTCAAGACAGGCCTTTTCTCATGGCGCGAATGAACAATAGTAACATCAATTGAATTTCATGGCGAAAATGGTCAGTGCAGCTGTCAACTGGGTCAGAGGGCAGCACGGGTAAAAGCTTCAAATGTTGCGGCGTGTCAAGTGGAGGCGCTGGCACAGTGGGCATTTCAATGCCGGTTGGAAATCATCAACTGGCTAGTGCTCCTACGGCGGGTCCATCTCGCCAGTAATCTGTCTGGTCCGGTCAAGTAGTACAAGGCCGTCGGGGTCAATGGGCCTTGACTCGCTTCAATGCCAATTCAATGATTGTTCCGCGTCCCTTATCGTCCCGTTCCAGATCAATGCCCCCATGCACTGCCCACATGCAGCCTGTACCCCGTCCAACGGCAAGATCCAGTGGTTCACTGTTGCCATGGACGCCCCTGTCGGCAGCAGGCCTTGGGGCCGCCCGATCCGCGGCAACCATTGACCCCGACAATCTTCAACCTGGGGCTCGTCTTGGCCAACCAACCCTCCGCCACGCCACCATCTCCACCCGGCATGGGGAACGCCCGTGTTTGGGGCTATGAGGGTTATGTTTGACAACATCGTTGCAGCCGCGCCTTCTACCACCCCATCAGGCATATCGGGTTTGAAGCTGGCGTACGCGAGAGAGGCCGCGGCCACGGCGAGCTGACGAACCCTCACGCCCCTGGCTCAACTTCCATTCTGAAGCTTACATAGAAACAGGAAACAGGAAAGAAAAAAAAAGAAGCAGCCATGGCCAGACCAAAACGGCCTCCTGAGGATCGGCGCCGCCACGAAACCGACTGGCCGCGACCATGAAAACGCAGCGACGAGCATAAAGACGGCCTTGGGGTCGCGATCTTCGGTTTCTTGTTTTATCTCGTCTTCTTTGTCGGGCACCTGTTCTTGTGTTCTTTGCCTTGTTTGACCCATTGCTTCTTTCTCTTCTTTCTCTTCTTTTTGTCCGGACGCGACGCCAAACAGTCATTGAACTTTCTATCGGCGAGGCAAAGGTTGACGGGGTCAATACTTGCTCAATTTTCAAACCACAGGCCACCTGGTGTGAGCCTTCATCTACACACATTCTTAATTCTCGTTAATTATTATTATTATCATCATCGTTATTCGTCTTATTGGCCTCGCCTCCCCCCCTCCCCTTCCTCCCTCCCTCCCTTTTCTTTGGACATAACAACTTTGGTGTTACCCTTCGTTGTATATTTGCCCAAGATGCATGCCCAGTCTCTCATCGTGTACATCTGTGCGCTCTTCGCCTTTGCCAGCGTCTCGGCGGCCGATATCCAGAAGCGCTCCTTTAGCGTCAGCAGAGTAGCGAACCCAAACTTCACTGGGCGAAATGGACCCCGCGCGCTCGCCAAGGTGTACAGGAAGTTCCTTGTGCCGCTGCCCAAAGGTCTTGAGGAGGCCATGCACGCGCAGGACAAGAGGCAGGTCGCTGCTGCCCAGGCCAGGAAGAGAAGTCCCGAGCCGTTTCGGCCTATGAGGCTGAGGCAGCCGGGACGAAGAGGACTGCTGGACGACTTGCTGCAGGGTCTGGGCCTCGAGGGCGGGAAGCAGAATGGCAATAAAGGTGAACAGAATGGGAACCAGGGCGAGAATGGAAATAAGAACGGCAACAAGAACGGGAACCAGGAAGGGAACCAGAACGGAAACCAGAACGGAAACCAGGAAGGGAACCAGAATGGGAATCAGAACGGAAACCAGGAAGGGAACCAGAACGGAAACCAGAACGAGAATGGAAACAACAACGGCAACAAAAACGGCACAACTGGCGCTCCTCCCCAGGGCACGGCGCCCGGGACAAACCAGACAGGAACGGTAGAGGCAAAGCCAGAGGTCAACGATGCCGAGTACATCTCGCCTGTCAAGATTGGCGGCCAGACGGTCAACCTCGACTTTGACACGGGCTCCTCGGACCTGTGGGTGTTCAACACGCAGCTCGGGACGGGGTCTGGCGCCGGCCACCGCGTCTTCGACCCGCAACGGAGCCAGACGTTCCGGCTCATGCCGGGAGCGTCCTTCAACATCTCGTACGGCGACGGCTCCGGGGCCGTGGGCAACGTCGGCACAGACGTGGTCGACGTCGGCGGCGCCTCGTTCCCCAACCAGACGGTCCAGCTGGCCACGGCGGTCTCCAAGTCGTTCGTCGAGGACCAGAACAACGACGGCCTCATGGGGCTCGCCTTTTCCAAGATCAACACGGTCAAGCCGGTCAAGCAGGCGACCTTCTTCGACAACGTCAAGGACTCGCTCGCCGCGCCCGTCTTCACGGCGGACCTGCGCAAGGCCGCCAGCGGCTCCTACACGTTTGGCACCATCGACGAGTCCAAGTTCAAGGGCCCGATGGCGTGGATCCCCGTCAACACCACCCAGGGCTTCTGGCAGTTCACCAGCGAGAGGTTCGCCGTCAACGGCGGACAGCCCAAGACCTCGACGCCCGGCGGCCAGGCCATTGCCGACACGGGCACCTCGCTCATGATCGCCGACCCCGTCATGGTCCAGGCCTACTACGACCAGGTCCAGGGTGCGCGGGTCAATGCCCAGGATGGCAGCGTCGTTTTCCCCTGCAACGCAAAGTTGCCTGACCTCGACGTCGACATTGGCGGCGTGTACATGGCCAAGGTTGCCGGGTCGGACATGGTCTTTGCGGACCTTGGCAACGGCGGTAAGTTGACTGTTTTTCGGTAGTACCTTGTTGAAACGTGGAGGCCGTTTGCTAACGATTGGGGCGGTTGTCTAGAGTGCTTTGGTGGCTTGCAAGTCAGCCCGATTCGCAACCTTGCCATCTATGGCGACGTCTTTTTCAAGTCGCAGTTTGTCGCGTTCAACGCGGGCAACGCCAGCTTGGGCATGGCTCCTCACGCGTAGATGTATATATTTATATATATATGGTGTGTGTGTGTGTGTGTAATACAAGGATAGAGCTGGGACTATATTTTCCGCCAACTTGGCCGTGGAATAGAGAGGAAGAAGAGGAAGAACATAAAGGCTACGGGGTCGGATCAAGGACTGACGACGGCATCCAAATGTCATTTGCCAGAAACACCATGGGCTGAGAGACCGGCGCTTCGCAAGCCACCGAAATACAGCAAGTCAAATAGTTCTAGAACATGTTTTTTTTTTTTCACAATGCCATCCGTTTGTTGAGTGACACAAGTAATCACTAGGCACCTGCAGAAAAGGAACAAATGGTTGGCCCGTCGTGGGCTGGCACGACGTCGACACTTCCATGTCATTCATTGCCTCGGGACCTTGGTGCCATTGGCCTGCTCACCACGGGCCGACTAACGCTTGACGCTACTTGACCTGTACTAGGCCGCAAAATACGTCTGCCTAATCAACCAAGCCAATGTCATGGTCTCGCGCCCCGAGGAACGTCTGGACTAGCGAGACCTGGATGCTCACTTGACGAGGTGGCGTCCTCCCGTGAGACGGGACAGGATTTCCGCCTCAGCACCACTCAGCTGATGGCATCGTGTAGGTTTTGTATAAGATGCCCTCTCTTGTCCTCGGAAAACAATTGCGCCCGCTAGAAAACCAAGTCACTCTAAATTACAGCATGGTTGTACAAGTCTTCACATCAAATAGTTTCGCGCCCCCGATATTCCTTCCAGTCACTCCAGAGGCCCCCTCCGCATCGGAGCCAATTCCCATTGATCAGATTTAAACATCCGCCACCATCGGCACCAGCATGGGCTCTTCGCAGTCGGCCACCACCAGGCCCGACGCTGGCCAAGAGGCCAAAAAGTCAACGTCCCTCTACCGCAAGTACCAGGACAAAAAGGGCCCACGGCCCATCAGCGACGACGACATTCTCAAGTACACGGGCAAGACGCGGGACGAGCTCAAGAGCTGGGCCGACGGCCAGCCCGGCGTGGGCAAGAACCAGCTCGCCGGCAAGCTGGCGGTTGGCAGTGCAAGCGGGCTCGGCGGCGTGGCTACGGGCGCAGGATACGGGGGCTGGGGTCCCAGTGCTGAGCCGCAGGGCGCGAATCGCGGCATGAAGTTTCCGCCGGAGCATCACGAGTCCCAGCCCAAGGTTGTGGACGACGACGACGACGACTAAGTGAATAGGTGCATGTGGGATGAATGTGTGTGTGCAGTGTCTACTGTGGATGCATGGATGCCTGCATGGGCGGAAGGACGGGTCGAGTAGGTTAGCACAGGTCTGGACTTGACGGAATGCCATTGACTACGTAGTTGAAATGGAAACATTTGATGCTTTATTGGTGCGCATAATTCCTTCGTATCGAGAAATGCTGGAGCCTAAATGCAGCCGTGGCGTGGCTGCATCGCCAAGGAGCACATCCGCGATGCGAATGCAGCCGCCGACCGCCCCAGGTCACAGGTGTAACAAAGAAGCAGCCTTGTATCCAACCGCCCCATGCTCCGTACAACCCATCGCAAAGACGGGTCTGGTTGCACAAGGCGGTGCTTTTCTGTTGTCGTCGAGAGTGAAGCGAACCGAGAGGTGGCCCGCCTCATGCCCGCCTGGCAAATGGTATTATGTAGGTATGATTAGAATATTCAAAGCAGTACAGCGTAACAGGCTTCCTACGTCGCTCTTGCTCCCAACTCCGTGGCCAACAGCTCAAAAATGCAATAAACCAGAAAAGAATGCTTGCAAATGCCCATCCCAAGTCTAACTCTCTCTCTCTCACAGAACCCCCCCACCCAGGTATAAAACGAATCTTGGCCGTCTATCAAACATATTGTCGTCCAGGCCCAAACCATCAACAACTACACATGATCGGCACTAGGAGTCCATAGCATGCGTCCTTTACAGACGTGTTCTTGGGCAAAGGACCTGTACCGCTCCAGAATGTCCGTTTGCCCAAGTCCCTCGGATTGATCTTTGGAGCTGTAATAAGCGGCTACCCCCCGTCCATCCGCCACAGCGGCTATAAAAAAAACGCTCGTCAGTCACTCCACGTCGCAAGGTTTGGCAGAAAAAAAGCTGCTTCACTTACGTCGACCTATTTTTCGCGGCATCGTCACGGCGAAATGTCTCTCGGCAGCAGCCCCAATCGGCTTGGCGGCATTGATGTCTTTCCCGGTCATGGCCACAAGCTGGGTGCCCATGCCGAGTTCCTGATAGTTCCACAGGTGAAACTTGTACTTCGACAGCTCCCCCCTTTCCAGATTCTCGAGCAGGCTGTAATGCTGCTGGGCGGCAGCCATCCACTTCCAGCTTCCCTGGTCCTTGTAGGCATCGTAGACGGTGTGGACAATGGGCGTATTGTGGAGGAGATGATCTGTCTTGCCCGTGACCGGCAGCCAGAGATGCTGTCGGCCTGCCGGGGGGTTCCATTTGGCCACGTCGAAATCGGGCGGCCCTCGCCAAGACGGCAGCCGAGACGGGCGCCAGTTCATAACCCCCGACTCGGCTTCAACAGGCGTCCATGTCTCGTTGTCGGGCAAATACGGCTTCACGGCCCCGAGGCTCAGGTGAAGCCAGCTGCTCAGAGGTTGGTTGACGACGTTTGCGGAAACGAGGTAGAAGTCGGGTCGCATGGCCCTCGTGTGCGCCATGGACAAGATGGTTTCATTCTCCATGTAGACCTGGCAGGGAGTTAGTACTGCGCGATTTGACAAAAAAAAAACCTCCCCTCATCTTGCAAAGCCACGTACAATACCCGAGTCGATTTGGATGTACAGCAGGTCGTCTTGGATTCCGTCGTAGGCGCTGGCGTCGCTCCCCTCCTGGTTGCGCCAGGAGTAGTGCGTCTCCGACCGGACAAGCTTGTCGAGAAATTCCACGTCGCGCGCATCGTCGGTTTGCCGCAGCCAGATAACCTGGTCCAGGACGCCGCCGTTCTTGGCCAGATCCCGCTGCTCGGCAAAAAAAGGTAAGTTTAGTCTTGGGAGATGGGCGGGCGATTAGCTCGTCTTGGCATGCGGACGATCAACGAACCTTGAGATAGCAGTCCAGGATGGACGCCTGCTGCCGCTTCTGATAAAAGACAAGCCCGACAATCTTCCTTATTCTTTCGCGCTTCTGCCACTCCCGGACAACAGCCATCATCTCGGTCCTGGAGACGAAGCCATCCCGGTCAATCTGACTGCCGCGCAGGTCCGTCACCGTCGGTAATTCTTCTCGAAAAAGAAGGAGCAACACAATGATGATGCCGGCTCCCACGAGCCACCGCTTCAGCAGCAGCAAGTTGGGTGGCATTTCGCCTGCGCAAATCGAGAAGCAGACGGGACGGGGATAGAGTCACACAGGGGGGGGACCAGGTCACATTTGATCTTTTTTTTTTTTTTAAATTTGCCATGGGAAATCTTGCTAGCTGGTTAAATGACCCCAGAACACCCGGGCCGGGCGTGAAGAGCATGCATGACACCGACCAGACTCCTCGAGGGCCCTGAAAGAGACACAGCCGCAGATCCCCGTGGTGCAATTTGGACCGTCTAGATGACGCCCATTGGCCAGCCCCCGTGTGCATTGTTGTACAAACTTGGTTCAAAGAGGCGCCTGGTTGGAAGCCCGCGTTTCACTCGTCCAAGGAAATCGACTAATCTCCTGAGGGCAACAGTCGGCGTCCGGACCCTCCATGGTCATGACATTTCGAAATTCGCGACCCGTTTGCCCCCCTGGTCCTCCGTCTGGCTCCTTCCTTTTGTTGTGACTTTTGAGCACGGACGATTTGCCAGCTGAGCCATCTCAATCGGGAGTCGGGACAATACGTCTTCTGCTCCGTTGTACGTACATGTATGTATGTACTTAACACGATGCGTGTACAGACGGTCTACTTTTCTAGTCTCCCACTGTCCTTGGCCTGGTACAGCCTGATACTGTTTTAGATTTTACGCTTACACGATACTTGTATCATGCGTGTAATTTCAGTTGACTACAGAGCGAAACAACTAAAAATTAATTAATGTATGTACTTAAGTAAGTATGTACTTGGCATTTTCCGCATTGACCTGGGCCAGCCGCATCATTCATGCCACAAACACCAACGAGCCAGTCAGGTACTTCTGTCGTGCCTCGACTCCGTTGCAGCGAATCGAGAACATGCCAAGACAGTTATAAATCCGCAGTTCAATCAACACAGTCTAGCCTACTTGAGTAGATTCTGTCGATTCCCGTCAGGACCATTGAGTGCCGAAACGCGGGGAATCAAAATGTCTACAGCATCTGGCAACCCTTTCATGCGAGCAAGGGTGCCTGCCACGCATGGCCTGGCCTGAAGTTTGACCTATATTAAGGGGTGAATTGTTTCGCTCGTTAGTCAAGTGAAACTACAAGCATGATACGAGCATCATATAAGCGAAAAATCTAATAACACAATATTAAGCTGTACTAGGCCAAGCATAGCATAAGACCAAAAAAATAGAAATTAATGCCGCGCCACGGCCCATTGGCCAAGGCCATCTCTCGCTAGCCTCGGCTACCAGTATCATGGAAGTAAACCTTGTATATTATAGTGACTTTATGCCCGTGACTCACGCTGAGTCACGTTAAAGACCTAAAGTGCCCATACACGTAGTATATCTGTGAGGTCTGCCCTCGTCCGCATTCCAAGGCAACCCTATTCCTCTCCATTTAAGTCATTCTTGTACTATCAAGACCCAATACAACTAATCGTGAGTCCCTGCTTCCACACATCTCCCACAAGCACTACAACCGCGTGCCGACATCGCTCACAGCTATCTACAATCAAACACATGCATGGCTTGGCCTGTATGATACAAGAACAATGGCAATCGTAGGTGTAAATTAATGTCCGCAGGTCGTTCGTTGGCGTCAATCACCAAATTGCAAGCACGTTTTACGGGGAGCCAAAAGCAAATGTGCTTGATATTGCAATATATACCATGTGACTCAGAATCACAAATTTACAACGAACCAGCTTGACTCTAAAGTGACCCGTTAACCACTACATTCAGTGCCTACCCAAAAGTACATGCATACCAAAAAAATATGCCCACCAGTGGTCAAGAAACAGTCCCCTAGCCCAACAAGAATAAATAATAGTCGCTAGTCATCAAGTCATAAGTACTGGAGGGAAGGTTGTTTGGGTGGAAGTCCGGGCTTGCTCAAGCTGGGCAGCATAAAGAGTCGGCGTCTAGGGGATATGTCCTGTGCCCTGTTGGCCCTTGATTGGCCCGTCAACTCCACATATCGTTATAGGTTCTGTGATGGACGCTTCCGGACCGTGGCGCATTACGGCTGCGGCCTGTGAAAAGAACGAGTTTGTGCGAATCGTCGTAGCTCGAATCAGGGCTCGTGTCGGAACATGATCTGTGTCGGCTATATTATTAACCTTTACTCGGAAGGTTTCCAGCATTCTATGTGCAGCTTCAATGTGCTCTCTTTCAGCTGCCATAAGAAATAGATAAACCAAGAAGTTTCCACAGAGAATTAGCTGAGATCGAGCATCTATCATACCAAACAAGCAAGTTGATTAGAATACTGATTGGGAAGCAAGAATCCACCGCGCTAATTTTCCATGTGAGAAAGTGTGACTTACGACGACCCCAGAAACCAGTAAGGTCACCGGGGTTGATACTGACGAAAAACTCTGTGAACCACAGAAAATCCGCAATCGCAAATGGAAACCACTGTCTCAGATTAGAGTTAGGGTCCGACTTCGCAGCTTTAGTAGCAGGGTGCATCAAGGCTCGATAAAGAAGGACCTTTGTTGCGTAAAAAGTCAGATGAAGCGGGCCTAATTGTTCCAATGTTAGCCCAGATAGATAATTAATTGTTCATTTTTTTTCTTTCAATCTCACAGTTATAGCAAGAGGTGGCAGGTTCTCTATTTCGCGAAACAACCAGACAAGAGGGGATCAGGCTGGGCCAATCCTTCAACTTGTCGTGTATGTCAGCGAGTTGGTTACGGGACGCTATTCGTTGATGCAAGTCTGCCGTTCTCGTGTCGACTTGACTAAAGTTCTGTCAGTACAAATGCAACCCTTAGAGAAAGGGAAGCTGGCTTACAAATTGCTGTCAATGACGCCTCGCAGTAACCGAGTGATTTTTACCGTCTCCAAAAATCGAGCACCTGATGCGACATCAAAGGACCAACTCGAACGGTCAACAAGATGTTGCAATTCCTCAGGTACATCTTCATCGCAGCGAAGATCATCTATATCGAGCATAGTAGTGTTGTACGAGGTTTCGCCGATATGAGGAGGGTTGCCGTGTGAAACCGCAGCCCAGCAATCTGTTACAAAGGCCGCCCACCAGAGCTTCTTCCTCAGCTTCTTTTCGATAATCTCCAAATTCCAATCGCCAGGATCTTGGTGAAGCCCAATCAGTTGCGCACATGCGGTAGCTTGCGCACTCAACGTGAAAGTTGACGGCGCTTCCATCGCATCGATGGAAGGCGGTTGGACGTGTATCAAGAGCAAACAAGCCTGCAAAACAAAGAAGTTGGGGTTTTCTATTTCTCTGCGAAGGGCTCTATGAGCCTGATCGACAATCTCGTGTTGCTCCAAGGGAAATCGGTCCCCACGGCGAGTGCTGGGGTCCTCTGCCCAGAAGACAGATGCGAGAGCGTACACCGCGCCACGTAGACATCCTGGTATCGACTTTCTGTTGCCTGCATAGCGGCGAAGGAAGCGAACCTTGGATACTATTGGCAAAACCGGGTGCACATGCTTGAAATACAGCGCGACGAGCACGTCAGCGTGCGGCCAGACTTTTGTCTCGATGGCATCGGAAGCCTGTTCCCTCGTTTCATTGGTGTGCTTGGGGTGACCCATGGACAGAAAAAGGAAATGGAGCGGGAGGTCGTCGACATCCGAGCCGCCACGGTGCAGCTGGACTACATTGGCGTCAACGGTTGCCGTCTCACTTAAGATGCCATAACTAAAGGCATCTAGAACAAAAGGGTCTTGCTCAGCAGTACGACCGAGAAAGTAGGTCGCTCTGCCGGGATTATCTTCCAGTGTATGAACTGAGCCTGCGCCGCTGATACATGACGATTCCGGAGAGTTCAATGTAGGTTGTACAATATCCATGCTTGCAGCGCTGGCGTCTGCGTCCAGTCTTAGCCGGCCCCGGGGGCTGGCATATGACAAGTAGCTACCAGAACTTGCTTCATAGCCATAGCCTGGGCGGGGAGAGCAGTCACTGGCTGCAGAAACGGAGACATTGGAGGGTGAAGTGATAGGTCGAGGACTGGACTTGATGGTATTCGGGCTGGCCAAAATGTCTGTTGCATCCCGTTCTCCAGAATCACCAGGGCCAGAGTCGGGGAAAGAATGATCTGCACCTGCAGGCTTGGAAGAGTTCGTAGAGCCACCCTCGGAGCCCGATTGCTGTCGTAGTAGCGGCCCATCTGTAGTCGACGTAGACTGGCATACTATCCCCCTACTCTTACAGAAGGCACCTTGATATAAAATTAGAATATTGGACACGTGGTTGGCGGGTTCATGCGCAAATCTCGTAAAGTCAGGGCCAAGGTTGAGCCGAAAGCCAGCCAAGATGCAACGGTTATCAGACTTACATGGAGGCTCCGTAGTGATAATGCAAGCAGTCTTCCGGCGGCGACATGCATCGCACGGCCGACTCTTTCGACTCCTCCTCTCTCTGGGTACACCAAAGGTGCTTTGTATCACAAATTTGCGGGGGCGGCCTTGACTTCCTGGGTCAGAGACGCCCTCGGACCGTTCACCCGAACCACGGGCATTAGCATGGATCTGGGTCTGAGCTTGAGCCTGGACTTGAGCATGAGCTTGAGGGTTCACAGCAGGGCCGGGCGCATGTCCCGGGATATTGGAGCCAGAGCTGTCACCGTCCATGGCCGTGACCGAGTCGTCCGGCGCGTGCGGTTCAAAGCTTTTGGCGTCAAAGGCGTCACGTCGGCCTATCGATTGGATCCGTGGGAAATGTTTCGGCCAACATTCTCGGCAAAAAAAGGACAATGGGAGGGTCACGGGTTGACCGATGGGACCAAATCATGATTCGTAGCCATGGTGGAGTCTGGTCTGTAACTGCCAGATGATGGAGAAGACAGAGCTGTCAAATGCAGGAATGCCGAACCCTGATTGGCTCACATCCCACGGTTGATCTGCGGGTGGAAAGAGCAGCACCAGAAACCTGTTGTCAGTGCCAGATGGATGTACTCTGTACGGAGCCGGAAAAACCACCGTTAGGATTGGTCGATAGCTCCGTACAACATGCCCAATTGGTCTAACCACTGGCTTTGGGATTCACCTACGGAGTAGGTACGTCCGTACTTTGTACAGAATACTGCATTGCACATCATATCGCCATTGACCATCAGTTTGAACCCCATGGCCCATCAAAGCCTCAAGTCTGCACCAGCAAGTGCGACGCGCGGACATGACTGGTCAGCCCTGCGAGACCTGGTTCAAGGTGAAAAGCAAAAAGTTGGCCGAAGCTAGTCCCAACCACCACAAGTGCCACCACGTTTCGGTTTCTTCGCCCGAGAGTTTATTTCCGGATAAACTCAAACAGCAATATACGCTTCGTTGGAGCAACAAGAAGCCCGATCACTCCCCCGGCCAACTTTACCCCGAAATGTGTTCCAGGCTCCTGGGTCGGGACCGAGACCATCGACAGCATGATACTGTGATCCTTGCTTGGCATTAATCTGGATCGCACCGACGAAAGCTTGACAAGTGGGGTCGGGTGTAATGGAATGATATTACATACTTAGAGTCGGATCCTGAACGATGCTTCACTGGGAAGTAGATGTCTCCAATGGAAAACGAGAGCTGTCCGTCGGTGAAATGATCTCCCCAATTGGCGCAGCCTGCATTGATTCATGCAGGGCAACAGCTTCGGCACTCCATAAATACGACGATCTACTCTACAAACCCTGTGCTTTCAGCTCTACATTGAGCTCTGAGCTTCCCGGCCGGCCATGGAACTAGGTACAAGGGCATCCTGGGCAAAGTCGGGCAGATCTTGGCGGGCGTCGTTGCTGTCAAGTATGTGGTTGGAACAAAACCACAGGCAAGTTCCAGTCATCGGCCAACTTTCAATGCTACCGCAAACTTCATCCACATAGGTACAAATTGAATATTCCCAGGGATACTACTAACAGTCATTTCAAGCACTTAGTACACAGACGATAAGACATTAATTTACAGCCGCCGGCCAACTAATAGGTCACCATCACCCTATCCAAGGCAAAGAAAGCTACTAGTAAGCCTAAACGCATAACGTCCAATTTGATTAGGACAGCAACTAGTTTTGTTCCGTCCAATGGGATGACCTACTATATCAGTGTTCCAAGTCTTGGCACGATTGTCTACACTTGCCCATAATGCTAAACGATAATAGGATAATAGTTGTCACCGAACCAAAGCGGTAGCCCGCAACCACCTTACTAGTCAAGTTTTTCACTTGAGGCTTGACCGAAATGTCCACACGGAAATCCATGGTTCATGCAACGCTGGGGGTGGCCAAACAATTTATTTGGCTTTGGTGCTCATAGAATGTCCAGGCAAGTCAAGCACAGCAAGCATCAACTGTCGAAAACGCTCGATGCACTGTATGTAGGACAGACCGACCATTGCATTTGCCCCATGTCTTGTACAATTGGCACCGAAGTGGTTCTTCATGCATCTCATACATGATGCAAGTACGGGCCTGCAGCATCGCCACAATACGAGGTTGCCCGACAAGAACCAGTAAGTAATATTGCAACAGCATGGCATGTACATGCATGGAGACATCTTCCACGAAAGTGCGACGAAGCATTGAAGGATTGTACCATCATCAAAAGAATTCTAAGGAAACCACATCCCTTCGTGGAATCGTCGGCATCAGTTCTGCCGAGCATAAGCCCTTGCTCCACACGTTCCCCCTCTTGTGCTGAGCTCCTTGTCGAGGGACTGTTTTGGCTGCCTTTTGAAGTATGGACTTACTGAAGATATTGGAATGCGCATCGTTATTGGATAATTTCACGTGTTGCTTGCAGGGTGAATGTAGGTCATGGTCGGATACCAAAGACATTGATTCACTCCACCCACAAACAATCTATGCCCAATGAAAGGGTATCGTTAATACGTGAAACATGTGCCGAGATCGGGGCCAAAAGATGGCAGAGCAGACTACGAGTCAGTGGGAAACAAGCTTGTCATCAGCTCCAACCCTCCCTCTACAAACACGAACGGCAATTTAACAGGAGGCAATAGTATTCAAATCTGGGTGCCGACTATTAATCAAAGCAATATTTTGAAACGAATGGCAAATATTCCAGCTGCAAAAATAGTTCCAAAAGATCGACTACATCGTATACATTTGCCCTCGCCGATTGCTTAACGTTTAGATAGCATTCTGCTTGGCACGAAGGTCGAAGACCTTGAGTGCCTCCTCGGCGGCCTTGAGACCACTGAGAGCCATGGCACCGAATGTTGGGCCTATTGGGCAAGGTTAGCTTTCAGGATTGAAAAGTAGTATGCATCACGAGTCAGGATTAGCATACCCATGCGGTTGGCACCATCGACTTCGGAGAGCTCCATGCCACCAACAATGAGACCAGGGACGATTTCACGGGTGTTCTTGACAATGGCATCTTCGGCTGAGTTCATATCAAGACCCCGCATGCCACCGAGCTTCTCGATACGCTGCATGCTAACGAGACGCTTGACACAGAAAGCACCCATGGGACCGTCGTGGCCGGTGGTGGAGATGATAAGAGGGGCGTTGATGGTGTTGGGGTCCATGCAGGACTGGTCGTCATGGTGCATGGAAACCAGGGTCCAGTTGGTAACGACACCGGCGATTCTGACGCCCTCTTCCGAGGGACGAGTGATCAGATCCTCAACGCAGGTGGCGTTGAACATCTTTATGTTGGGCAGAGACAAGACTTTGGACATGATGGTGGAGGTGAACAGGGCGGCGTGCTTAACAACCACGTAGTTGCCCTCATCTTCATAAGGGACACCAATCTCGCGGAGGAAAGCATCAGCCGGCTTTCTCATAACCATGGCGGAGAAGAGCTGTCCGCCCAGCCAGGCACCACCACCAGGAGAGACGGAGGCCTCGATGATGCAAATCTTCAGGTCGGGACGCTGCTTGCCAAGGACATAGGCAGCGCTGAGACCGCAGGATCCAGCACCAATAATGACAATGTCAGATTCGGCATAGGTGTCGAGGTCCTTGAAGTAACGGCGGGTCATGGCACGAGAGACCTGACTCTCACGAATGGGAGCAAACTTGAAGTTGTCCCACTGGCCCATCATTTCTTCAATCGTCTGGGCGTTGTTGGAACCAGCTTTGACGGCGAGCTTAGAGCTAGAGGTCGGAGTCACGAGCTCAGCGACCTTCTGAGTGGGAGAGACGGCAGCCGGGGGAGACATTATGGATCTACACAAGTTAGGGCTGTGAGGGACGGCTTATAAATGGGGGGGGGAGCATGATCCTTTCGCTGGTATGATCCAGATCAAGTTCAGGGCCGTATAATCTCAGCCACCCTCCCCTGCTTCGACCCCATTGAGAAAGAGCAAAAAGTTTTTGCACATAATCGCAAGGCGCAAGGCAGAGGAGAAGGCACCGGCTCATGCAAACAGACATTACCTGAAGAGAGATGATCATAGTTGGATATACTACAACGCAAGGAAGCCATGATCGCTGCCAAATCACGAGGTGCGGTGTACCGGTTAAGATTCAAGTCTGGACCTGGGCGTGTTAGAAGCAGTTCTCTGTACCTATTTGCTCAGGGAGGCATTTCTCAACAGACAAGTTTGATGTATAGTGATGGGGCACAAAAGCTTTGGCTATCGATTTGACTTGGGACCGACACAAAAATGTAGGAAAACAAGATTCAGAAACGTCGACGCCAGAAGGAGGGGTCGGGTGAGGGATTTTATATGCATTCCATCTCATAGCGGGGTACAACAAAAGTTGCTCATCTCTACACACACAGAGCTATGTACTACTACAACCACAACAGTCATCATCACCAATGCCGTTGGCCACGAGCCGGTGTCCAGCTCCATTCGGAGCGGGGCTGCCCGCCTTTTCCCGGTACTTGCCGTACTGTCGACACATGAATTTGACGCATAACAATTTTACCGGCTCTTGTTGGGAGCTCGATAGACACTGGTTGTTCCTGAGCTGGTGGCTATGGAGCTTGGGAGGGGCCCTGATAGCTAGAGCGAATCATTGCGACTTGGATGGTGTGAAGGGTGTTGAAGCTGTGGATCTGGAAGTTAGGTGGGGGCGAATCGAGATGCTGCGATAGTCGTCAAGACTCAAGGCTCGAGCCCTACGGAATTGGATTGTCATCAAACTGAGAGCAGGAAAGGAGCTACATGACAAGTGGCGCCGTCCAGAGCGGGAGGCCGTCATCGTAGGGAGGTGGTGGTATGTAACACGCAACAGACCGACTTATTATATATCAAACGATGGCAATGCGGCGAACCAAATATAACGACAGTTCCGGGCTCATGCCTGGGCAACTTCTAGGATGGTCTTGACAAATCGCTCCGGGTCATGACCAAATCGGCCCAAGAACAATCCATCAAGACCCGACTTCAACCGCTCATACAGACCCGGTCCTGCACTCCCGCCGTAAACGACTCTGATAGTTCCCTGCCTTGACTTTACGCAGTCGAGCCGTCTGATGCCTTGGACTACTTTGAGCACATGGTCCTCGGCAGCAGGTTGGCTGGCACCAATCGCCCAGACGGGCTCATACGCCAGAGCCACCTCTGCTGCGGACGGTACAGCAGCAAGAACAGCCTCGACCTGAGGTCTGCACTCATCAACAGCAACACCAATATCCCCCTTCGTTTGCTCTCCAATACACACCAACGGGATCATT